AAATGTTTTGACCCCTAACAAACCATAACCCTCAAAATTATACCCTAATACAACATAGTTAACCCAAAAATAAATAATATAATGAATAAATGACTTTGAAAAAATGAAATTTTTGCAAAATTTTTGAAAATGTGGCATTTTTGAAAAATAGCACTTCAAAAGTGGCATTTCTCAAAATTTATATTCTTTTTCAATTTTTTTGAAAATATGGTATTTTTCAAAAGTGATACTTCTCAAAAAATTTTTATTTAAAAACTCAAAATACAAAATTGTTAATCTCATATTATCTAATATTTTAATATAATTCTATTAACTAAAATATTACTAATTTCATATTATTGTATCAACTTTAATTAATATCAAATAAAAATAATATTAATATATAATTTAAATATATACATATTGGAACTCTATAAATAGATAATTTTATTTTAGGATTTATAAAAAAGTAAAAAAAAACAAATTATCAACGTACAAACTATATAATTATGATTTTACAATATTGTGTATTTGTTGTACCACTAAAAAATTGAACCAATGATGAAATGCCATATGTCAAAAAGAGAAATTTCAAAAAATGCCACTTTTCAAGTGCCACTTTACAAAAATACCACACTTTTGAAATCTTTACAAAAATGCCACTTTTTCAAAAAAAAAAATTTTATATTATTTATGTTTGGGTTAATTATGTTCTATTACGGTTTAGTTTTGAGTTTTTAGGGGGTTTTAGGTGTCAAAACATTTTTTAGGGTGTAGAATTTTAAGATATAAGCTTTATAAATCTATAATTAGTGGCATTTTTGTAAATGGATACCCCTAAGTGACATTTTTGCAAATGTGCACACAAAAAATGGTATTTCTGTAATTACCCCTGTAAAAAAAATAGATTTTTATGGGTTTCTTCATCAAAAATCGGTTTTACTTTTTTTTAATGTGTTTATTAGAAAAAAACTCCGTTAGAACCTTAAATAGAATTCTCTATTAGAAATGCTCTATAATTCGGGATCTAGAGGACAAGAATTGAAACTAATTTCTTTCAAATACATAGAAAATCGTATAAGCTTAAAAAATAAGTCTAGCCCTAATGATAACGTAGTTTTTGCAGGGAATTTTTTTTTTACTGAAGGGAGACGGCGATGTGGTGATTACGGGGGGT